TCCTTCTGTCCCCACCCAATGCAAAATCCTAGCCACCATTTTTCAGATGGACGTAGGTGCCGTGTCCAGTCCCAGTCAGACTGGTCTGTCATCATGCTAAAAATAACGTGTGTGTTTTTTTTTTTATCCCATATTAGAGACTGAAGCAACCCGCCCTTCTAATGAGCATGTGGGTAGCAGATGGGAAGCTATTTACTATGGAAGGAAAACCCCTTTACACTATGTAACCGAAGGGATGGGGCAAATCTTAAGGAGGCACAATGTATTACCTAAGGTGACTTTGGTTCAGGATGCTGGGCCAAATGACCAAACTCTGTAATAACCACTAACAAACGTTTCCTCTCTTGGGTACCTACAAAAGTGGCCTGGGTTTTGTTTTTTGTTTTTTTTTTGGAAAGTGCTAAATGCCCTGTAAAGTCACTGGGGGATCAGCACTTCTGCAAACCACTTACTTGAATACTAAGTATGAATTTCAATGCTAAATGTGGAGCACAGGTTCGAAAATAGCAGGCTGTGAGCACTGGGGACCTCTTGAGTACTCATCTGAAAGATGCCTGGCAAAGCAATGGGTGGAGGATCAGGGAAGGCTTGTAATGTGTCCGGGTCTCAGGCAGGCACCGCCTAAAACAATCAACCTGGCAGATCTTAGACCAGTGCCTCCCTAAAACCCTGGTAAACACCCAAATACCCGTTTAAATCCTAGCCTTTGTTCTGCTGTCCTGCCCTGATCTGGCCAGTCCCAGTGACGGGCAGATCCTGTAGGCAAAAGGAACAGGTTTGCTTCTAGCCAAGACTTGCTGTCCGGGGCGGTGGCTGCGTTTCCTCCTTTGAGTTTGCAAAGAGACAGTCGAGCAGCTGAACTTCCGAATCCCCGGTTCACTTTCACTTGTATCTGCCCCACCAGGTTCTAGAAGGGGGCTCCACTTGCCCCAGTTCTGCCCTGAGCAGTTGCAGACCCTGATTTCCTCAGCTGTCTGTGGGGAGATGCAGCAGGCTCAGAGACTTGCCGGCATTGGTGGGGGTGTTATCTGTCTCCGCTGGATGGAGGCTTTCCCACCACTAGTGGCAAAGGAGGGATGCTGGGAGTGGCACTACAGGGGGGGCAGTTGGTAGTACACAAGCTAAGAAATTGCCCTCTCCCTCTCCAGCCCAGTGGGGATCGGAGAGGGAGAAGCTATTTCATGCCCAGCTTGCCAGCAAGACACTCCAGATCTCCCCCTGTGGAGCACTGAGCTGAGCAGCTCCCCTTTTCTCACTTTCCCTGCTGAGCTGTGTGCGGAGGGAGGAGAGAAGGAGCTAGTTTGGAGCTGAAACCATGAGGTTCCTGGCCCTTCTGTGAGTCGAGGCCCATCTCCGCTAGGAAAACCTGCTGATTCTGAGGGAATGGAGAGGCCACGGCGTTGCCTGGGAAATCGGCACAAATGCTGTACGTCTACACAGGGATAAAAACAGATTCAGAATGGAGCCGGAACTCTTGGGGCTTCTACCTGCTGCTGAAGGAACGTGTGTAAATCTCTCTAGGACCAAAACCACACAACTCAGTCACTGGCGCAAGGCCCTTAAAGAACAGGGCAGGTTGTTTCTAGGTTTGGGAGGTAGGGCCACCCCCGCTCCATTGAGAAATCATATTCTGCCTCTCCCTGGTTTCCCCAACGGTGTTTAAAGGCAACACTCAAATGCTCTTGGGTCCAGGGAGTAAAGGATGGGGCGGGACTTTCTTTTCTAATGCATAAGAATGCATCATGGTGAATCGCTTGTCTAGGGAAGGATATTACATTGCTGTTTTCTTTCAGGAAGACCCACGATATGCAGTGTGTTCCTGTCTTATTTATTTTAGTGGAGTAAATATTTTGTATGATGTACGGGCAGGGTATGATAAAGTTTATTAAGGAGGGAAATAAAAAGCTTTTAAGTTAGATCACTGTGTGTCACTCAAGTGAACTGCTCTGCTGTAAACAGTTTTGCGTGAGAAACGGGCCAGAAACTTGCCTCTCATTCCCCGCCCTGAACACTGAGGGACTGGATAAAACAGGAACCCACATCTCACTCCGAACCTATTTCTGTCCTTCTGGGAGTGGCCTGATTGCGTGGGACAGTGGGGGGAACTGGCAGGGAAGGAGGAGATCAGACAAAGGAAGACTGCACTTTCCTACCCTCCCATGCAAAAATCCCTCTTTTCCTCTGTGCTGAATTATCAAGAGGATCCACCAGCCCCAGGAAGACAGTGCAAAGGGTAAGTTCATTTCAGGAGGTGGAGCTCCGGACCTACTGCCCATCTATCTGTGGTGGCTGGGAATGTGGCATGTACCACAAGCCAATCTCACAACAGCGCACTGGCAAAGCGAGCATCCTCTCTCCGGTGGAGCAAACTAGACGACTGTTAATAATCATACAGCAGCAGTGATAGTGTTCAAAACTCCAGGCAGGACAAGCTGACGATTCCTCGGCCACCCACGACTTGGAGGGCTGCGTTTCCAAGCTGGGTTCCACCCCCGGTGTTTCCAACAGAGGAGGCTGCCATCAATCCGTGTCCCCACCACCTCCCTTCCTGGCAGACTTTTCCCTGGCTTTGGGGCAGAGTTCATTCAAGCTGGCCCACGCTTGGAAATTTATCAGACCCTCTAATAATTTCTGGTCTTTGCCTCCCACCTCACAGGGGCCTGTCCTGCTCCCTGCCTTGGAAACACTGGCTCTGGTTCCCACGTTGCTCTCTGTGCTAGCGATACCCGTGTGCAATGAGGCGGTTAGAATTGCGGAGCGTTGGCTTGTGTGCACTCTCTATCTGCACCAGCAGATGGTGCTCTGAGTTCTAGTGCAAGAATATTTCCCTCTAGCTGCAGCCCGGCTCCTGACTCTTTTCTCATCTGCAACCTCCATCCCTTGCTGATAAGTGATCAGGTCACTAGAGCCCTGCACTGATACAAAATTTGTATCTGCAAAAGTCACCATGAAATTGGGTCTGTTAGGTGCTTTTAGTCTATACTCTTACAGATTTCATAAGGGAGACCGGTGTTTCTGAAATTGAGGGTTCTGACCCAAAATGGAGTTGCAGGGGTGGGGGACAGGTCACGCTATTGCCACCCTAATATCTGCATTACCTTCAGGGCTGGGTGGCCAGAGGGAGCTGTTGGCCAAGTGCTCAGCTCTGACAGCAGCAGTCTGCCCGCAGCACAGTAGTAAGGGTGGCAATACCATACCATGCCATTCCTACTTCTGTGCTGTTGCCTTCAGAGCTGGGAGGCTGGGGAGTGGCAGCTGCTGATGGAGGGCTCAGCTCTGCAGGCAGCAGCACAGACGTAAGGGTGGCAAAATCCCAGCATGCCATCCTGATTCCTGCGCTGCTGCTGGCGTGGGTCTGCCTTCTGAGCTGGGAACTGGGATGCCCACCAGCAACCCCCGCCCAGCTCTGAAGGCACCGCCACTGCCAGCAGCAGTACAGAAGTAAGGGTAGCAGTACTGCAACTCCCCCCCCCTAACTTTTTGACTCCCCCACAATTCCTTTTTGGGTTGGGACTCCTTCAGTAGTTATCACCACCCAAAGTTTCCGATTTAAATAGCTGAAATCACGACATTTACCATTTTAAAAATCCCATATCCATGAAAATGACCACAATGGATGGGGAATTTGGCAGGCCCCTAAACACAGGGCTTGAACCTGCCAACCTAGGGTGTATAGGATGTAAGGAGGCAGCTTGTGGCAGCCTTCAATGGCTCCACTTCTCAGTTGCTGCCTCAGATAGCTGGTCTTCTGGCTCTGTTCCGGCCACTGGTCTCCTAGGGCTGTCTGGTCCAGGGCTGGACCACGGATGCTGCCAGACCAGAGAGTCCTGAATGTGTTTCAATCTGTATTGCTTAAATCCTAAGGACAGCCCTGCCAGGGTGCTGATATCCGGGGGAGCACGGGACAGTGGAGTGCTTTCTGGAGGGGGTAGGGATGGGATTTTCTCCTCCAGAGCTGACAGAATTGTTTTGCTCCCTTTGTGCTGTGAAGATGGATTCATAAAGTGTAATGAAACCTTGGGCTATCCTTACACACCTTTGAATGATTGGCTTAGCAGCCTGGCTATTGATGGAATCTTGTGGCACCTTCTGGTACATGGGCAGAGAAACACACACACACCCCCATCCAAGCACCCATCTCCCTCCATCCCTCCCCACCTCCAGCCTCAGAAAAGAGCTGGAGAGGAAGCAGAAATTAGCACAGACTGAAGGCAGGCTCTTGTGCAGTTCCTTGTAGCGCCTCAGGGCAACATTCAAAACCAATACAAAGATTGGCTTTGTTAGCCAAACCACCCCCAATGATAGAATAAAACATTTCTGAAGCATAGACAAAGGAATCTATTACCATGGGGAATTCACTCAAGAACAAGACAGACTCTTAAAAATCAATGAGACTAGAAGACACTTTAAAAATGACCAGGGAAACATGGAGCCCAGATAATATATTAAACCAGCAGCTCTTAGTCTTTTTGTAGACTACTGTACCCTTCTCAGGAGCTTGATTTGCCTTGTGTACCCCCAAGTTTCACCTCACTTAAAAACTACTTCCTTACAAAATCAGACCCACAAATACAAAAGTGTCACAGCTCACTGTTCCTGAAAAAATGCATCCTTTCTCATTTTTACTATAGAATTATAAACTAAACCAATTTGGAATATGTTGCACTTACATTTCAGTGTATAGTAGCTACAGCAGTAGAAATGTATGACATTTTAGCTTGTATCGACTTTGCTGGTGCTTTTTAAGTTGTAAAGTAAGCAAGTATCTAGATGAGTTGATTTACGCCCTGGAAAACCGCTGCATACCTCCAGGGGAATACGTATCCCTGGTTGGGCACCACTTCAGGGCTGAAAAGCAGCACTGAACACATGCAGAAAGCCCTTCTGAAATTATTTAGCTTAACCTACTGGCTGCTTTGCTGGAGTATGACTAGCTGGACGC